CCTCAGAACAGCCTCAATTCATTGGGCCATGGACTCATGTCGAAAGCGCTCCACAGGGATGCTGGCCCATGTTGACTCCAATGCTTCCAACAGTTGGCTGGATATATTTTTGGGGGGTGGACCATTCTTGATTTTTTTTTTTTTTTTTTTTTTTTTTAGTCATTTAGCAGACACTCTTATCCAGAGCGACTTACAGGAGCAATTAGGGTTAAGTGCCTTGCTCAAGGGCACATCGACAGATTTTTCACCTAGTCGGCTCGGGGATTAGAACCAGCGACCTTTCGGTTACTGGCACAACGCTCTTAACCACTAAGCTACACAAGGGAAACTGTTGAGTGTGAAAAACCCAGCAGCATTGCAGTTCTTGACCACACCAGTGCGCCTGGCACCTACTACCATACCCCGTTCAAAGGCACTTCAATGTTTTGTCTTGCCCATTCACCCTCTGAATGGCACACATACACAATCCATGTCTCTGTTGTCTCAAGGCTTGAAAATCCTTCTTTAACCGGTCTCCTCCCTCCTCCCCTTCATCTACACTGAATGTAGTGGATTTAACAGGTGACATCAATAAGGGATCATAGCGTTCACCTGGAATCACTCATGGAAAGAGCAGTTGTTCATAATGTTTTGTATACTCAGTGTATAGAATGAGAATGTTACTTCAGAATGTTCTCTCCCAGTCAGATGAGGAGAGCCAAGGACCGCTTATTCTGTATCAGCTCGCTAATGTCATTCAAATGTCATGAATGTTGTGTTTATTAATAAACACACTGCGTTCCATACTGAAATACAGGATCGCCAGCCTCAACCATGACCGCTAGTGAAAGGTCAAACTGAAATCTCTTGTGAATGTAGTGAAAGGTCAAACTGAAATCTCTTGTGAATGTAGTGAAAGGTCAAACTAAAAGATGAAGGGTCAATGAGGCTCTAGAACGCTTCATACACGCATTGCACAAATTAACTGCTAACCACACACTGTAGTGCACGTACACACTAACACACTATACGCAGCACATACACACTAACACACTATACGCAGCACGTACACACTAACACACTATACGCAGCACATACACACTAACACACTACGCAGCACATACACACTAACACACTATACGCAGCACGTACACACTAACACACTATACGCAGTACATACACACTAACACACTATACGCAGCACATACACACTAACACACTATACGCAGCACATACACACTAACACACTATACGCAGCACGTACACACTAACACACTATACACAGTACATATACACTAACACACTATATGCAGCACGTACACACTAACACACTATACGCAGTACATACACACTAACACACTATACGCAGCACATACACACTAACACACTATACGCAGCACGTACACACTAACACACTATACGCAGCACGTACACACTAACACACTATACGCAGCACGTACACACTAACACACTATACGCAGCACATATACACTAACACACTATACGCAGTACATATACACTATACGCAGCACGTACACACTAACACACTATACGCAGCACATATACACTAACACACTATACGCAGCACGTACACACTAACACACTATACGCAGTACATACACACTAACACACTATACGCAGCACATACACACTAACACACTATACGCAGCACGTACACACTAACACACTATACGCAGCACGTACACACTAACACACTATACGCAGCACATATACACTAACACACTATACGCAGTACATATACACTATACGCAGCACGTACACACTAACACACTATACGCAGCACATATACACTAACACACTATACGCAGCACGTACACACTAACACACTATACGCAGCACGTACACACTAACACACTATACGCAGCACGTACACACTAACACACTATACGCAGCACGTACACACTAACACACTATACGCAGCACGTACACACTAACACACTATACGCAGCACGTACACACTAACACACTATACGCAGCACATATACACTAACACACTATACGCAGCACATATACACTAACACACTATACACAGCACATACACACTATACGCAGTACATACACACTAACACACTATACGCAGTACATACACACTAACACACTATACGCAGCACGTACACACTAACACACTATACGCAGCACATATACACTAACACACTATACACAGTACATACACACTAACACACTATACGCAGCACGTACACACTAACACACTATATGCAGCACGTACACACTAACACACTATACGCAGCACATATACACTAACACACTATACACAGCACATACACACTATACGCAGTACATACACACTAACACACTATACGCAGCACATATAGAGTACACACTATACGCAGCACGTATACAGTACACACTAACACACTATACGCAGCACATATACACTAACACACTATACGCAGCACGTATACAGTACACACTATACGCAGCACGTATACAGTACACACTATACGCAGCACGTATACAGTACACACTATACGCAGCACGTATACAGTACACACTATACGCAGCACGTATACAGTACACACTATACGCAGCACGTATACAGTACACACTATACGCAGCACGTATACAGTACACACTATACGCAGCACGTATACAGTACACACTATCTTGTGTTTATTAATAGCAGTCTCTAGAGAGCATTCAGGACATAACTGCTCCGCTCTTGGGGGAGCCCTTCAGACAGCTGCACTCCGGGCAGAGTGTGCCCAGACACAGTGTAGGAACAGCTTTAGTGTCCAGCTCAGATTGCATCCACAGACAGACAGACCGAGAGACAGACAGACCGACCGAGAGACAGACAGAAGGACCGAGAGACAGACAGAAGGACCGAGAGACAGACGGATGGACGAGAGACAGGTTCTGCAGTCGGACAGCGGGGCAGTCGGATTGGCTAGCTGGGTGTGTGATGCGTAGAGGAGGAAGTACGGTGTGGGGAGAGGGACAGAAGGCACAGATTACACTGTGATGACAACATGAAGCTACAACACAGACTGGCTACCTCAGGTCACACCATAGAGAATGATAGAGGCCTCTAGTGGCCTATAGGCTGTTATAGCATGGGCAGCGCCATTGAGGGCTTCCGCCATTTTAAAGTAGCCAACTGGGTGGGGGTTCCTGTGGGTTGTAGCCTCAATGGTGCTGCTGTCACAGACAGTACAACGGGACAGATATAAAGAGTCCTCTATCCATCTCTATGGGACACAGACAGTACAACGGGACAGATATAAAGAGTCCTCTATCTATCTCTATGGGACACAGACAGTACAACGGGACAGATATAAAGAGTCCCCTATCTATCTCTATGGGACACAGACAGTACAACGGGACAGATATAAAGAGTCCTCTATCTATCTCTATGGGACACAGACAGTACAACGGGACAGATATAAAGAGTCCTCTATCTATCTCTATGGGACACAGACAGTACAACGGGACAGATATAAAGAGTCCCCTATCTATCTCTATGGGACACAGACAGTACAACGGGACAGATATAAAGAGTCCTCTATCTATCTCTATGGGACACAGACAGTACAACGGGACAGATATAAAGAGTCCTCTATCTATCTCTATGGGACACAGACAGTACAACGGGACAGATATAAAGAGTCCTCTATCTATCTCTATGGGACACAGACAGTACAACGGGACAGATATAAAGAGTCCTCTATCTATCTCTATGGGACACAGACAGTACAACGGGACAGATATAAAGAGTCCTCTATCTATCTCTATGGGACACAGACAGTACAACGGGACAGATATAAAGAGTCCTCTATCTATCTCTATGGGACACAGACAGTACAACGGGACAGATATAAAGAGTCCTCTATCTATCTCTATGGGACACAGACAGTACAACGGGACAGATATAAAGAGTCCCCTATCTATCTCTATGGGACACAGACAGTACAACGGGACAGATATAAAGAGTCCTCTATCTATCTCTATGGGACACAGACAGTACAACGGGACAGATATAAAGAGTCCTCTATCTATCTCTATGGGACACAGACAGTACAACGGGACAGATATAAAGAGTCCCCTATCTATCTCTATGGGACACAGACAGTACAACGGGACAGATATAAAGAGTCCTCTATCTATCTCTATGGGACACAGACAGTACAACGGGACAGATATAAAGAGTCCTCTATCTATCTCTATGGGACACAGACAGTACAACGGGACAGATATAAAGAGTCCTCTATCTATCTCTATGGGACACAGACAGTACAACGGGACAGATATAAAGAGTCCTCTATCTATCTCTATGGGACACAGACAGTACAACGGGACAGATATAAAGAGTCCTCTATCTATCTCTATGGGACACAGACAGTACAACGGGACAGATATAAAGAGTCCTCTATCTATCTCTATGGGACACAGACAGTACAACGGGACAGATATAAAGAGTCCTCTATCTATCTCTATGGGACACAGACAGTACAACGGGACAGATATAAAGAGTCCTCTATCTATCTCTATGGGACACAGACAGTACAACGGGACAGATATAAAGAGTCCTCTATCTATCTCTATGGGACACAGACAGTACAACGGGACAGATATAAAGAGTCCTCTATCTATCTCTATGGGACACAGACAGTACAACGGGACAGATATAAAGAGTCCTCTATCTATCTCTATGGGACACAGACAGTACAACGGGACAGATATAAAGAGTCCTCTATCTATCTCTATGGGACACAGACAGTACAACGGGACAGATATAAAGAGTCCTCTATCTATCTCTATGGGACACAGACAGTACAACGGGACAGATATAAAGAGTCCTCTATCTATCTCTATGGGACACAGACAGTACAACGGGACAGATATAAAGAGTCCTCTATCTATCTCTATGGGACACAGACTGTAGTGTTCAGACTACAGAACAGATTGCTAGGAGACTCTGACCTGTATTCTGATTGGCTCAGAGCAAACAGAAGAAATCTGACGTTTTTCTATTTTTCTCT